AGATTAGAGAGGATAGCCCTGATGCCATACTCAGCTGGAATTTGATTAACGAGATAGGCTTTGTCTAGATTTTCTTTCCGTTTCAGTTGGATACAGTATTCCTCACTTCTGATGCCATTACCACAAATAACCTGTGTTTATTAGAGCGTAAGTGAGAACAGTGGTGCCTAACCCAAACCCACAGTAACTATGGCTTTTGTTCTAGCAAAGGCACATACTGCTTGTCCTGGTTTTGGCTGGGATAGAGTTAATTTCCTTCCTGGTAGCTGGTACAGTGCTGTGTTTTGGATTTAGGATGAGAACAATGTTGATAACACACCGATGTTTTAGTTGTTGCTAAGCAGCGCTTACACTAGTCAAGGACTTTTCAGCTTCCCATGCTCTACCGACTGAGAAGGCTGGAGGTGCACAAGAAGCTGGGAGGGGGCACAGCCAGGACAGCTGACCCCAACTGGCCAGAGGGACATTCCATACCATGGGACGTCATGCTCAGTACATAAACTGGGGGGAGTTGGCGATGGGTTGGTGACCGTTGCTCGGGGACTGGCTGGGCATCGGTCGGCGGGTGGTGGTTTTCCGATTCTCTCCCCCACTGGGGAGAGAATTCTCTCATCCCACTGGGGGCGGGGAGTGAGCAAACGGCTGTGTAGTGTTTAGCTGCCTGCCGGGTTAAACCACAACACTGCTGTATGAAAAGCCAAAAGATTTTTATCCGGCTTGACCTGTCCCAGATTAAAATGTTCCGATAAGCATTGTCTGTTCCAGGCTAGCCTTCCTCTGTAGGGTATTACTTGCATTAAGGGTACATTCTTATCCACTAGTCTCCACTACGTCCCACTGCATCCCCATGCACAGAAATAGGATGCAGGAGTCCGACTCTGAAGTTCTTGTTTTCCTGCCTAGACAACGACTTCTCCTTCCTCCACGTGCACATCCCACAGCTTCAGGAAAAAAAATCCTGGATCGAGGGCCTCAGATCCTCCCGTGCAGTGACCCATGCTCCTGCTGCAGCGCCAAGGCTCTAAGTTTTGTAAAGAAGCCTTTATAAAACAAAAGGTTGCAGAAATTCCACGTGAGCAGTAAGGTTTACTCTGAGCCGTTGCAAAATAGTTATTTACAAGAAAAATTGCAATGTCTGAGGACTCGAAGCCGAAGTATTGTATTTCAAACAGTTGAGGTCTTTCATCTGCAGACAGAAGACCCTTTTGAAGAGCAAACCGTGTAACGACCCAATTTATCTTTGAATGCTTGTGGTTTTGGTTTTTTAGGAATCTCATCCCCTCCGTGCCTATTGACCTCAAATTCCTATGTACAGGAAAAACCTGAAGATAATGGAAACCAAACACAGCTCTACGTAGCAGCCAAGAATTTCTCAAATGGATGAACTACTCCCAAAGTTTTGAACCTTAATTAAAGAAAAGTACTAATTATCCAGGGAGGTCCGCTGGACCAACGTTAATCTGAGCTACCAAGGCAGCGTGTGGGCAATGCCAGGGAGGATTAAGGGCCAAGGAGCGCGGCAAAGAGAGCGAGGGCAGAC